TAACTCTATTTCTCATATTCTCACTCTGATTCTTAACTGTCTCTCTTGATTCGTAACTTTCTCTTATCTTTTTCATTTACAAATTTCAATCAAATTGAAGACATCCTGAAAAACAAAAGTACTCTACTCATTATTTTGTATAATATTTTCTTATTATTTAATGTTTATTTACATTGTTTATTGTTTATAAATATTTTTGTTAACATTAATTTTTGTTTTTTTTTAGAAAATGGTGGAATCAAATTTTTCTGATTTTCTTGATTTTGGAGATCAACCATTTTATGAGAATGAAATTTTGATGCACAACTCCAACCCCACTAATGCGGATAATGTTCCGGCTGAGAACCAATAGGTGCACAACGAGGATATTGGAGAACGTGCAAGGAAAAAAAGATCTCACACAGCTCCTGTATGGTAACATTTCATAGAAGAGCTACGACAAAATCTAAAAATAGGTGAAATTGAAATGCGTGCGGTTTGTAAATATTGTATAAAACACTTTTCCAACAAAAAAAGGTGGGGGTACCGGCCATCTTGATAGATATTGAAAAGCATGTCTACCATTACACTAAGGTGGTAGTGTGGACTCCCGCCAACAAACACTTCCACTCATAAATTAAGGTTTACAAAATTTTTCATATGATGCACAACGTGCTTGTGAGGCACTGGCTAAATTTTTAGCTTGTGCCGAATTACCATTGTCTTTTGCAGATAATGTAGCATTTGACGAATTTATTCAGACTGTATTTTGTCTACAATTTAAAGGGTTAGTAGAAACACAATTAGAGCTGATTGCATGAAAGTTTTTTTATGCAATGAGACAATCACTTGTTGATAATTTTAAGTATTTTAATGCTATAGTCTCTTGCACATATGATCTTTGGGAGGGTTGTAATAAAATTGATTATTTATGCATCAAGGCTCATTATGTTGACGAGGATTGAGTTTTACAAAAGCGAATTATTGTTTTTCGTTTATGTCCTTTTCCAAATAATGCAAATGTTACTTTTTCTACTATTATGAAAATTTTTAATTTTTATGGCATTGAAGATAAAGTTTTAACCATTACTTTTGATAATGCATCAACAAACACATCTGCTACCAATATGTTTAGAGCAAATTTAAAACCACCTTTTAGTAGAAAATTTTTTCATCAACGTTGTGCATGTCATGTCATGTCATATCTTAGAGGCGCTAATGTACGTACAAGACTGGGACGATGCAAGAAGACGAATACACCATTATACATCTGATACACTTTTAGACTATTTTTCAAACTTAGACATAACAGAATCTTCTGGTACCAATTCGGCCACAGTGTAATTTAATTATTCTTGTAACTGCAATTATTTTTCCTTCGCTAAGGTTTTGTCCCGATCTCCTCACGGATTTTACTTAGAAAGGTTTTTAATGAGGCAGTCATTTATGTGTACTTATTCATATTATTTCAATTCAATAAAATCACATCTTTTGGGGGCATATGATAAATTTCTTTTTTTTCATTAAATATGATAACAAATGGAATCTAGTCTAATCTGGTCGACCCGTGCATGCTCAACGGCCATAAATTGTACCGTTCAGCTTCACCAGCTTGAAAAGAGCCTAGGCACAGGCTCGGCCCTGGCCCCTATGGACAAGGGCCGGGGCCAGGACTGGGCCTGAGGGTCTTCCCTCAGGCCCGACCTTGGCATGACCTGTACTGTACATGGCCTTGCATGGCCAGCTCAGGCTCGTGGCGGGCCTGGGGTTAGAAGGGCCATGCTAGCCCGACACAACCCTTTTGACACCTCTAGGCAAGACTTAGGTGTTGGGAGATTTTTTTGAGACGGTCTAAGATCACGACACACATCATGAACCTTGGTTGGAGTGAGGAGGCCGAGGCCAGGGCATGCGAAGGGATCATGCCCACCTCGATCGAGAGAATGAATGGAGCTCGATTGAGGGATGAGACCGAGATTGAGACTGACAGAGAACTCCAAGACATTAGGACCAAAATAGACCGAGATCAGGGGAAAAGTGAGAATGGTTCATGTCAGGGAGAGGATCTCGAGATAGTGACACGTGTCCCGTATTCCTCTAATTAATGCAACCAACCCGAATATATTGTGTTTAAAGCGAATAACGAAATTGAAAACTCATCCTTCCTCTTATTAGGGGCAGCGAGGAAGGATGAGTTCTCAATAAAAGGATGTACACATACACATTTAATATATATATATATATATATATAAATAAAATATTAAAATAATCATTAAAATCATATTCATATATATATATATATAAGTACATAAATGATCAGAGTGCAATGTACATTGATACGTATTGTAGTCTAATTTTAATGATAAAAGTCTCATGCACATGCCTCATATATAATGTACGATTGACTTAGATCGACACCCTAATTAATGACCTAAACAGTAAATCAAGTGTAATCATCTTATTTCTACCGTAATCGTGTTTTTGACAAATACTCCATGATAAGTTAGTTGTGTACCTAATTAATTATCAAACTTAATCCAATGATGTATATGACAATTAATATTTATAAATATCCTTTCACCTAGGCCTACTAGTGAATATTAAACGTAACTCGCTATTTTTTTTAAAACGTATATTTATATATATATATATATATATATATATATATATTAGATAGAGAAAACGTAACTCATCTAATTCTGAAGTGATATATACTTGTGTCAATTGATAAATAGAATGAGAATGAATAAGTGAACTGAAGAATGATTATCTTTTGCTTTTTTTGCTAAGAAATTGTTCCCTTTAATTTGGGACAACCTGAATTATATATGATCCCCTTTGAAGAAACCTCTTGGATTTTATTAATTAGTTTTAAAACTAAATTTCCATTACACACACACACACACACACACACACACATATATATATATATATATATATATATATGCATATACCATGCCACACGTCCCAATTAAAAAAGAGGCAAAAAATAACAGAAACTATTATTTCTCGCATGAAGATATATATATATATAGAGAGAGAGAGAGAGAGAGATTTTGATGATGGCAAATGGAAATAATAATTAGCAGTAGACAAAAATGTATATGTCGCCTACTCGGCTACTCCAAAGACCCATATCTATTTTACAACAAATACGGCAACTCTATCTCTACATATTGTTGAGATGTTAGCTTAATTAACATGACGAGTCTTTCCTACACGCTTTTAAAGGTTTCTGTTAATGCCACACATGATACATATGTATGCATAGTATTTGCATTACCAATAATTACTATATTTATCATTTTTCTTTCATCATTTTTTTAATATATTTGTATTACGATTGATCTAGCATTTCTCTTACTAATATTTAGTACTATTAACAATTTCAAAGGTTTTGATCATTGAGTAATTAAACTTCTCCCTTAAATGAATTTCTATTTGAGTCATGAGATGCTAATGCGTAATAATTAGGAACATCCTAATAGGCTAATACTTGATAACTACAATAGTATGTGTACTTCTTAAAGGGAAAAAAACGGAAAGTGATCAAAAGACAAAGGGTAATTTTTGGTTTATAACACTAATTAAAAAGGAAAATTGTTTTATAAATAAGACTAATTTTAATTATTTTCTTTTGTATTATGACGAGTAGTTATTGTAATTACCAGCCATCGATCGATTGCTTATTGTGCAGATTATCATTAATTGTGATAATTACTATGGATTAAAATCATACATAGAAGTGACAAAAAAAATAATAAAAGTTTTACACATGGGATATATTTTTTTTATGCTGCATAAATTAAAAATTAACACAAAGCAAAAACATATTTTATTTTAAAAAAAGAGTAGTGCCTATTATCCCTTTTTTTCCTAAAAAAAAAAGAAGGTAACCTTATTTGATGTCCCACATGCACACGTAAAAGCTATGCAATTCGCACAAGCTGATATTCTTTTTAACTTTAATTATATGGCAACAGAAAATTATCCCCAAAATGCAATATTATCCAAATACAATGAATATTTATATTATGATGTGTCATCTGTGATGTAATTTACCATAGACATGAATCTCATGCATGACTAGCTTCTCCATACTCTCTTATCATTTAAAAAAGGGATTACACAAATTTTAATCTTACGTGCTCCACTATTATAAGTTCTAGAATATATATATATATATATATATATATTATATGAAACAAAAAAAGAAACAGAAAAAAAAAGGATGAAAAGAATTAGAATATTGAATTTTATTCTGCAAATTCTCCAGGTCTTGATGGTTTTCCAAATTTATGCAACGTGATTCATGTTTTGAAATACATACAATATATAAAATATATCTATATATATATATATTTATTTACATGCATGGGCAGTACGACTTCTGTGTTTATATATATATATATATATATATATAGGCGATTAAGATTTTGTTCATACAGATTATTGGCGATTAAGGTATATTTGTAAAAGTACCTTCCAATTTATTTATTTTTTTTTACGTAACTGTTAATAGGAGATAACGGTACTAAAGGAAGGAAAAACATCGGAACTAAATGGGCACCTAATTCCATCCAAGTACTTAAACAATATGCTAATTAGATAAATAAAATAACTCGAACAACATTGAAGGTAAAAATATGATGGGACTGGTCAGTTTTGAGCTTAATAAAATTTAAAGTTAATTAACTTAATTAATGCAGCATATTTCTCAATACGCATAATAACTTGTAGCTTCCTTTTTGGGCAAGACAAAGTCATTCATGTCATGACTTTCTGCTAGAAAAGTTCACTAACAAAAGGGCAATAAAATCATTGCTAATTTGTTCAGCAAAATTCAATGCTTATCAACTTCTCATACTTGCAAAACCAACCACTTAATTATACATACATACATATATATATATATATCCGTATTGCATGCAGGTTTCCAAATAAATACAAGACCGTATGGGCAAAAGTCAGATTTTGCCCAAAGAAAAACGTCTGAATCTCTCAAGTATCTGAAACCATACCTGAAGAAGAGTCATGAAGGAGAAGGCCCTAAAAGCCAACTCCCCGCCGTCCTCAACTTCTTCCTTTCTCTCTCTATAAATATACATTTTAGCCCATCATATATGATATGTCACACAAAAACATTATATACATACACACACACACACACACACAAAACCTCTAGCTTATAGTAATATATCCCTTGATCAACTTTCCTTGGTATAACATACATACAGTAATAGATTATGGCCTTTTCTCAAGTGCATTTTCTCTCATTGATCTTGATCATGATCATGACATTGCTCTTCTCCTTTGTGTCATGTAACTTGAGCAACTTGCAAGAGGTGGTCCCACTTAATCATCATTATCTTGTTGAGGACACTACAGCTCATGAGAGTGGTGATGATCATGATCATTTCCAAGCTGCTTATCCTTCATACTTCAACATGTTTGAAGATGGAAAATTCAAGGGCTTGATCAAGGAGACGACCGATGTTCTCACTCTGGAGAGTGTTGATTTAACTCCGACTTCTTCTGTTAAGAAGGTGAATGTCAAGAAATATGGAGCCAAAGGTGATGGATCTAATGATGATACAGAGGTAATAACTTTTGTTTTTAGTCCACTAATATTAAGAGTTTTAAGAGGTTTATACAGGAATTCTATGGTAGGAAATGAAAAATTAAATAAATAAATACCGGTAAAAAACGGTTATTTTAAACCGTCTGATCATATCATAATTGTATTTTATTAGGAAAAATATGGCAGTTTAACTGAACTTGACGAAAATCTTAGAATTTAAAACTATGCGTGTCAGAACGGTATGTTTTTTTCTTACCCTACTAAAGAATTTTTGTTGATTATCACGAATATGCTTTTCTGCTTCCTTTTGGTACATTTGAGCTAGCTACTATAGCTTATATATGCCTAATTCTTCAAATTATGTGCATATATTTTATGTAAGCTTATATATTGTTTTCTCTGTTTTTTCTTATTTTGATTGCTATGTCATGAGTATTTACATGGGTTATCTTTAAATTTTGAATTGGATTTCTCTTTCAGGCATTTGAAAAGGCTTGGAAGGCAGCTTGTTCCTCTAAAAAAGGGGCTGTCATGGTGGTGCCTGAGGACCATAACTATCTTCTAAAGCCGATAAGATTTTCGGGTCCTTGTGAATCCAAAATTACTTTGCAGGTAAGTTCCAATATGTAATATGTGGAGTCCAGTGAAGAATGGAATGTCTTAGAAGTAATATTGAAGGCTTGAAGGAAAATATATCAGATACATGTAATTCACTGTTTCTGGAAAATTTTCAGATTCTGGGAACCTTAGAAGCTTCTGATGATCGATCCGACTATGAGGAAGACGAAAGACAATGGCTTATGTTTGATGGAGTTGACAATTTAGTAGTGTCTGGTGGTGGAACCATCAATGGAAATGGAAAGATATGGTGGAAAAACTCGTGCAAAATCAATGAAGATTTGGTGTGTCATTTATATGTCAATCTTATAATTCAACTTTTTTTTTATAAGATCAAATACTGATTTTGTTTTTACCTTCCGATTGATTCGCAGCCTTGCAAGGGTGCACCAACGGTATGTTAATTATGTAAACTCACATCTACTTTAAGGTCTTAGGTAAGGGGCTTTTCTCACCACCTGCTATATACGAAAACTTCTTTAAAATTATTTTCCTGGAAATATTTTCTTGGCAGGCAATCACCTTCTACGAGTGCAAGAATTTGGTAGTTAAGGACTTGAACATCCGAGATGCACAACAGATGCACACGTCTTTCGAGAAATGCGTCAACGTTCAAGCTTACAATCTCTCAGTAACTGCACCAGAGAAAAGCCCAAACACTGATGGGATCCATGTAACAAATACTCAGAACATGCAGATTTCAGATTGTGTCATCGGAACAGGTATATAAGTATGCTTACAATTAAGTTTGTTACTTTACCAATCGATCCCAAAAGCTTAAACTGTTAGGAGGTATGTCAACAATAATTTTATACTTTAACACTCCTCTTTACGTGTGGGTTGGACAATGGGCAATCGTGTGTGGGTAAATTAATTAGAAAACCCAACACGTGAATATTTAAGCCCGAGATATATTAAAGACCCAACACATGATGATAATTTTAAATGGGGATAAAGAGTACAATTATGAGGGTTTAATCTCAGGACCTCCCGCTCTGATACCATGTTAGTTTACCAATCTATCTTAAAAACTTAAGTTGTTAGGAGGTGGGCCAACAATAATTTTATACTTTAACAAAGCTATAAGAATCTGAAATTTATGGTTGCTGAACTTCAAAAATAATAATATATAGCTTATGAAAATCTGTGTGATGAAGGTGATGACTGCATTTCAATTGTAAGCGGGTCGAAAAATGTGCAAGTCACGGATATAACCTGTGGACCTGGCCACGGAATCAGGTTCAAACAACTTAACCTGTTTTCAAGTCTCCAATTTCTAGAACCCCATTAACATTATGGCTTGAATTTTCATTGTGAGCTCAGTATTGGAAGCTTGGGAGCAAGGAATTCTGAAGCTTATGTTTCAGGTGTGACAGTCAAAAGAGCTAAGCTTACTGGCACTACAAATGGAGTCAGGATCAAGACATGGCAGGTACAATTTTGAGAAGTTCTTCAACCCACATCTTGGTCTTTCCAAATTTTATGATCTGAGTCTAGAATGGTCGTTTTCTGCTCCTGCTGATGTCGTTCCATTCATATGTCACAATCTCGGTGCTCATCTTCATATAGATTCTGCTAAGCTTCAGGCTCTCTTGGTTTCATTATTGCCCTTGGATCATACACTCCTTTTTCATTGCTTGAATTTTTTTCCTTAAAGGGTTTTAGCGAGGGTTCCTTGAATGAGAAGTATATCATAACAAGACAAGGGAGGTTTAGGTTTTTATTATGTTTTATTTGTTGCTTTTGGGCTCTTTTTGGATTTTTTTCCCCTGCCTCTGGTAGTGATTTTGGTTGTTTGAATTTTTTGTGTATTTTTCTTTTTATTTGATAAAGATCAAGTAGAGACTTGGCACACTATGGGCTCGAGCAGGTGTCAACATAGTTGGGATGTGTATTAGATCCCAAATATTAGTTGTCTTCTCTATCTCACTTGATATATATATATATATATATCCGAATCCAAGAATTCAATAATATGTACAAACTTCTTGCAAAACCCAAAACTGAATTTGTCCATTTTATGTAATGTCCAGGGAGGGTCAGGATATGCATCCAACATAACATTTGCCAACATAGAGATGAAAGATGTGTACAATCCCATTATTATAAATCAAAACTATTGTGACCAAGATGAACCATGCAAACAACAGGTAACAAAAACCTTCACTTTTAAATCCAACTTCTACCCTTTATTTCCTTGATTGAATATAATCTAAATCATGAGTTAATCATCCAGCGCAAGGCAGTTCAAGTGAAAAATGTGCTCTACAAGAACATTAAGGGGACAAGCGCTTCATCCATGGCAGTAAAGTTCGACTGCAGCAAAGCCTTCCCATGTCAAGGGGTGACTCTGCAAGATATTGATCTGACACTTGAAGGAGAAGAAGAGGAAAAGGAAGCTAAAGCTGAGTGCAACAATGTTGAGGTTTCGAATATTGGAACAGTGTCCCCACAATGTGATTGAGAAGGAAGGGAAAATTATGATTCTTGCCTTGATGCAAGAACAAGAATGTATGCATATACCAATAGTTATAGCACATTGAATTATAGCTAGTCTGACTCTGGTATATGGTCATCACCAAAATATGACATACATAAACTACTATTATTTCTTAATCAAATGATAAAATTGGGGTTAGTAGAAGAAACTCATGGTGAAAATTATACTGTAATTATCTTATTGTATCTCATTGTGTTCATAAATAAAGTTTACATTCATATTCTATTTATGGAGTTTCTGTATGTGCAACAATATTCCATTCTGGTTTTAGTTCTATTTTTTTTTTCATTTCACTTTGACCAGTACATTTAATCAAAATAAAGATATAAAACAGGCTTGAAACTCTAAAATATATGGCACTCTGTTATATACAGATAGTTCTCGACTCAAGTAGACTCAGTATACTTATAGTTGCTGAGACTTAATTGAAGTCCTCTAATACTTAGATGCATGTTAACATATAGTATATATCTAATATCCTGTAAACATTTTTCATTCACTCTAAAAAAAAATGAAATACAAGAGAAATCAATAAAAGAAAATGTTCCCTTTTCAAGATTTAGATCTGGCTAATATCAGAAGTGGTTCAACTTTAACTGATATAAATAAGTCTCTCTTAACATAACTTGATGAAAAGTTGCGCCTACCGATAAAATTCTTTTTCTTACCCTATAGAGAATTCTCCGATTTAATAAACGCTAGAAACTTGGCCACACAGAATAATAAAACTGTTGGAGAAAAACTATGCAATTGGTGGCCCCAGGCAAAGACTTGCCTTTACATGCCCTTTATCTTTTTGAAAGTGGGGCTAGTAACGGTTAGTCTGGCAAGCCTTTGCTTAGAAAATGGTTAACAGATTATGAAGTGGAAGCTTACAAAAGCTTTTAGCTTTTGGAAAAGCAACGGCCTGATATTGGTGAAGAATTAGAACCTGTTGTACTTTTCTCATCAAGATGCCTAAAGAAATTCCTTCTGTTATGATGTACCGAAGAATAATTCTAACGGTTAGTGGTAAAGTGTGTGTGTGTGTGTCTCTATATATATATATGTGTGTGTATATATTATATTATATAACATACCTAGTAGTCATTTAAAAAGGAAGATCTAGTATTGGATATTTGCCCAAAAACATGCCCAAAAGTACCTAACATGGTGTGCTTATTGCAATCATGTCTTATGATACCATGTGTCCCCCTGAAAAAAGAAGAAGAAAAAAACACCTGATTGAGCCCAATTAAACAGCCCTAATCTATATCGTGGGATCAAATACTGAAAAATGAAAAAAGGGATATTTTCCATTGAACAACATTAACCTAGTTTGTCCGGTATTCCTGGAATAGATAACATGAAAGCAAAAAAATTGAAAACCAATTACATTTTAAGAGGGGAAAAGAAGCTTGTCATAGAAAACACAAATCAGTTTACAATGTAACTAACTTTCTAACACTAGTAACACACCTATGGTAACTGGAAACACTAAATATTTAATAAAAATGCACTAAATGACTTTTTTTTTTTTTTTTTGCCGCTTCAACAAAACCAATTTTTACACCGACCCTTAATGTGTTATCTCATGAATGTTTCACTTCTCTTCTGCCGCTGCTGCTGCTGCTGGTGGCGGTTGTGGTGGTGCTGGTGCTGGTTTTGACTCCTCTGCTGCTGCTGCTGCTGCAGTTGGGATGCCACCATCAATGCAGCTCCTGCACTTCCTCTCAACCCATCCTTCTATGTCATGCTCTCCGTTGCCACCAAAGTGCCTTCCCCCGCATAGCCGAGCTACAATCCCCGCAATCACTCCAACAATGGTGATCACTGCTAAAACCACCACCAGTGTCTCTATCGACCGGTGCGCGTACCGCTCTGAGTCCTCGGACACAGCCGCCGGTGGTCCCTCCACCATTGGCTGAAGCTGATCACTCATCCTTGTCTTGAAGAAGATTTTGTGTTCTTGTGTTTGTTTCCAAGTATTTTGTGAACATGAATGGGGGGTGATTTGGGAAAGTCTAATTTGGGAAGTAGAAGTTCACAAAGTAGAGAAAAAAAGAAAAGAGTAGAGTAGGAGAAATAATGAATGTGAGGACTATAGTGGTGTATCAGATAATGAGAAAGAGCTTTTAAGTTGTGCAAAGTAAGTGCAGTTAAACAAGGCAAATGAGAGCACAAGAGTAACACCAAAAGCTAGTTTAGCTTGGCTTAGAGAGAGAGTAGAGAGCTTTGGATCTTCTTCCAGTGATTATATCTCTGCTAGCTTTTTGTTAAACTTTACTTTGGATTTTCTCCACTAAGATGGTGTGGTTTTTGAGGTGCCAAAACATGAATGAAGGCCCAAAGCTCTTCAGTTCCAAACTTTTATTAAATTAAAGTTCTGAGGGTACTTTTAACATTGTCAGTAAGTAGTGCATCTTGAATAAGCTCTGCCTCTGCCACAATCCCCAAGCGATATATATATACATATAATATTCATTTCGGTTCCCAATTTGTCCTTAGTGGTGTCACATGTTAATGTCCAATATTTGAACCCAAGAACCAAAGTAAGATTTCACTAGTTTTTTCTTCTTGAAACTTTCCACAGCTCCACTGAATTTACTATTATCCTATCTCATTGAGAAGTGAGAACTATGACCCTCTTCCTCAATAACTAGTTCTAGTTGGCTCATTTGTCACCGTGTAAAAAAACTTTTGATAGTTCTACCGAAAAAATAAAGGAAAAAGAAAATTTTAATAGGTATAAATCACTTGATATGTCAATTTGACTGAGTGTACCATACATTTCTGACCCTTCAGGATTCATATAAAGGAACTCCTGATTCCTGACCAGTTTGTCCTCACACCATGACTAAAATGTACAGCAAATAAGACCTTAAGTTTTGGGTTGCTTGTTATGCATAAGATATATATTAAGGGTCTTTCTTTTTCAACAAAAAATGTGGTTACTTAAGGTGCTGGAAATAGTGCTCTTTAACTTGGAAAGTTTCCTTGCCATATTCTTTTAACCTTTGCCTCTTTATGGTTTCCTTTTGTTACATTCATCAAAGACTTTTTGTAGGTTTTGGAGTCTGTGTTTCCTCATTCTTGTAATCAACAAAAAGGTTCAACAATAAACATCAAAAGACCATCAGAAGGGATATGCTAACTATCATGTAACAGTATGTGATTAGATTTGAACTACGTAATTATCATTATCAGCGATGATACTTAACATGTTTCTCCAACTAAAATAGTCATGGCATAAGTACCATTGTTGGGTTAGAACTTGATTTTGAAAATTTTAACTTACCTCTTATTCGGTTCACCCATTTGAATTGCGGTTTAACTATTTTTATAACAGTATTTTTACTCACAAAAATTTGAATTTATGTTCAAACCTAGAACTAAACAGGCTATTAAGCAACCAAAGTTTACCCTCCCTTGTGCCACTTCTAATTAATCGAGGGATAGTAAGTTCCTTAAGACTTGAAACATGCAAGCCTCTTTAAAAAGTAGCATATAAAAATTTCTTGCTCCTTGTTCTTTGGTTTTGCTGGTGAACATTTTTGCACTTCTTCTAGTTAGTGTAGGTTGCACAACTAGAAAGCTACTTTATTCTTATGATTAGAATTAGCATATGGAAATTCTGATCTCCTCATGTTTGTCTTTTGGAGATTGTGTTATCTTTATTCTTATGATTAGAATGGGATAGCTATGCAACGACACTCGAGCATCTCTAAGGAAACTCTCTAACTTTGAGTTAAATTCTAATTAAAATGACTGAAAAGCTATTTTAGCTAGTAACTTTTTAGTGAGTCGCTCCAACCATTCTCCCTATCTTAATTCTTAAGTAAATATAGATTATGTTAATATTTATTGAATTTAAAAATATAAACAATTCTATTAATTTACAAAAGAATATTTGCATTTATTACAATTAAAAGAATAAAATAATACAAAAAATAAAATGGCTAGTCTCTCCATGAGTATCTCCAAGGAAACTCTCTAAATTTTAGCTAAATTCTAACTAAAATGGCTAGAAAGCTATTTTAGCTAGCAACTTTTTGGTGGGTCACTCCAACTATACTCCTTATTTTAGCTAAATATAAATTATTTTAATATTTATTAAACTTAAAATATAAATAATTTCATTGAACTTACAAATGTAGTGACCAAGAAAATCCCAGAATTTAAATAATGAAATTCATGTATTTAAGTCAAGGATTTTTCCTGGAAAAATATATATTATGTACATTTTTTTATTGAAGGATTTATGGAATTAACATCTGCATTCCTAAATTCTGTAACAGATTTCACGTTAAGTTCACGTTTTTCCGATCAAGTAAATTCGATCGATAAATTCTCACCGTACTTTAAAACGGAAGAATTTCCAATACAGATACAGTTTGAGAATCTTAATTTTAAGAATCTCCAAGCACAGTACAAACTAGCATCCAGTACCCATATACAGGAGAAAATAACTGTCAGTATAATTTTGGACAGTTTTAATGAGTAAATTTAGAAAGTAGACAAAGGTACAAGTGTTAGGTTTTATTTTCCTCTCTCCTTCCCTCACTTGGCCGGCCAAACTTAAGGGATTATAGCAAAAAAATTTGGCTAGTGAAGTGTGCTAGATGGATTTCATGATGGGATTGAGTCAAATCAACTATTGGACATGAAATGCTTACACCATTCCCTCTTGAAGCACTCCACCGGCCAGCCACAATAAAGGGGGGGATTAATCCAAAAATCTAACTAATTAAGCTAGTTTGATAGGCTTAAATAAGAACTAAGATGAGATCAAGTAATGTCTATAAAGGTGCGACCATTAGTGCAAGCATTATGTTAGCCATTTGTGCACATCTCCTCTCATTTCCCCCACACCCAAACCGGCCACACCCTCCATTCTCTCTCAAATATTTTCTCCTACTCTCCCAATCTTGAGCCACTAGCAAACCATAGAAGAAGAAGAAGGAGATCAAAGGGTCTAGGAGGAGTCTAGACAAGCATTTTTTTAAGGGTATAACTCTAAGTCCTTTTTTTTTTCCATGTTTTAGTAAAGTTTGAAATGTAGAAATATTCCTCTTAAATTTCCTTATACTTTCTAGTTCTAAGCCAATAACAAATCTGAGAGGAGTTCAAAGGTTTTCAAGGGAGAGAGAGAGTTCTTCAAGGGTAAGTTCTCAAACTCTTTTCCATTAATTTCTAGCCAACTTTAAGCTTGGATTTGTGGATGTAAATTTGTGGTTCTTGAGGAGATGAGTTGTAATAAGGGTGTGTGAGTTTTATATTAGTTTTGTAAGCTTTGAGCTTAGTTTGATGTGGTATGCTTATGCTTGATTTAAACTTGCTTACTTCCGGTTAGAGGAAAAATTTCTGATTACTTTGAACGCGAAAATGAGGACCCTAGAGCGAGATTTTTTGGTGTTTCAAAGCTTAAACTTATAGCCCTCGACGTTTTGAATGTTTTCTGTGTCTATGACAAAACTAATTTTAACTCTAAAACCAAGTTTGAAGCCATTTTGCAAAAACGGACAAGCTGTCCAACACAGTTTTAAAAAAAAACTGGCAGCCACTGGTTCAGCCAAACGGGATCCTTAGAGGCTGAATCTCGATTTTTCACAAAAGAGACAATTTTAGATTTCGACGAGAGGAAGAAATTTCATGAAGAAAAGATTTTCAAAATCCAAACCTAAGAGGTACTAAAACACAGATTCCCAAAACGGCACAGTTTTTGACTAAAACAGTTTCAAGAAAAACAGCAGCTACGGTTTTCAGCCAAACGGGGCCTTTAGAGGCCGAATTTCAACTTTCACCAAAAATGACAATTTTAGATCTCGACGAGATGAGAAATTTTCATGCAGAACAAAATTTTTAAATCCGACTCGAAGATATAGTAAAACGCAGATTTCAGAAACTGCACAGTTTTTAACGAGACAAAACTAAAACAGTGTCGGTTTCAACAAAAAGTTATAAAAGAACCCGAGATAGAATTTCAGTAAAATACAATGACATTAAACCTCAT